TCCTGATTGGGGCATGATTATCAACTCTTAAACATTACTAGCCGAACAGCAGCCAAAGTTTTCAACTCCACATTCGGATTACCAGTATTATAAAAAACAAACTTTTATACCTGAAAGTAAAACCAATTTTGTTGTTATAAAATAATTATAAAACCACTTATAAAAATTAATAGCAAACTAAAGGAAATTGAAAATTGTTTGTTTATAAAAACTAATAAAAGCAGTAAAACTGTTAGTTCTGTTATTCGGAAATTTAATTACCTGCACCGAATGGGACCCGTCTAATAAACAGCATACAGAATACAGAAAATTTGAAATAAAGAACCAATATAATTAAAACTAAGTAAGGTATGGGTCTGTTTTCAGTAGTTTCAATAACTTTGTTATTTTCCAAAACTCAGTAGTTGAAGGGTATTTAATAAGCACATCAAAATTTATTAGATGCTTATTTCCAGGAAAACTGTAAGAATATTTTATCTTTTCAAAATGAAAGTAACAACATTTTGTGCCGAAAATTACATGTGAAACTTCTTCATTTCCAAGAATTGCTGAAATGATCAAATCCAACTGGGATGCAAGAATCCAATATTCCCCCAATTGACTTTGAGTGGCAAATGTGGAAGGTTTCAGAAATCGGATAATTACTGAGCGTAATTCAATGAACAAAACACCCCGGGTCTTTTTGAGCGAATTCATCGGTCAATATAGTCGCATTTATTTCGGTATTTCTGATACAGAGATACTTTTAAAATATGTTGAAAGGACTGAATATTCCAGGAAATAACCTTTTTATCGCATGAATTGAAACATTGACTGCCTTCATTGGAAACCAATTTTTTAAATAATTTCAAAAGAAAAGCAATTTGGGGTATCATTTAAAAAATTCTAGTCGACGAGAAGAAATAAAATCATTTGTCCAAAGAACAAAAGCAGCTAGTCTTTTACAAGTTTTCCGAAAGCCAAATCAACCCTAAACTATTGTCTTTAGATGAAACAATCACTATCAATCATCCAACTTCGATAGAATAAAGTTCAATATGAAATTATTACATTTTCTGCCGCAAAAATACAAATTACCGTGAGGTTGCCAAAACCTTTGAAAATCAACATGCGTTCATTATTAGCTGGTAATTCATCAATTCAGTTTGTTTGTCTCGAACTGTTTCAAGGGCGTTTTCAACTAAAGTTTCACTTAGTATACACCGCACCTAAACAATACAGATACACTGAATATCTCAGATAGTAGAGCATCTCTCCGAAGTATTCAGGCCAATGAGGACGACGTTGGAGCCTCAATATTGCGGAATATTGAAATATTTACTGGGTTAATAAGTGAACATTTTTTGCCACTGAAAATCTACCTAAAATTAACTACGTAGAACAGTTCCACTTCGCTTCCGTCGTTCGCTCGCTTCTTTGTTCTTTTGAGCGAATTTTTCTAAGAGGTTAACTAGAAAAGTGAATTCTAAGCGAAACAATGTCTATTAATATAGTCTAATTACTACAGTTTTTCTGATAGCAAACTCGCCGTAAAAAAAACAAGCCGCAAACGCAAACCACTAAACAAATCTCATTAAAATTAATTAATAAAAAAATCCCCAAAACCCAATGCACAATCCTACACACTGCAAATATGACAAAACTATCAGAAAAACTGATACAGTTAGTCATAAATACCACAAAATAAAATATTGAATTCTGTCATTGTTCGATGAACTGGAAGACATTTTCTTTATACAATTGCCTGGTGCGCTTCATGACTCAAGTTAATTATACGTTCATTTGTCGCTGGCTTTAATTTAAAGTTCACTAATTACAATGAATCGGCCTTATAGAAGCTAAAAGTATCCAATGGAAACTTGAAGAAACTTTAGCTCCAATCCTGGCAATGGAGCTGCAGCTTATCAAACAGACTAATTGAAAGCAAACACTTATTATTGTCGATGGGTAACTCGGAGCTGGATTCTTAAAATAAATCATAAATCACTTGAAGCTAATGTGCAATTAGAATCGAATTGGAAAAAGCACCCGAAACTATTGGTCAAGTTGCAAAGTCTCAATGTTCTTAACATCTACTTGACCATGCGGATATCGCCCAAGAACTGTCCAATGCAAGGAAACTATAACTCTTCCTCACATACATCGTACGCTACAACTGCATTTAAAGTCTGCGGTTTTACGGCAATCTGTTCGGACCAACTGTACGTGTGATTTATATACACTCCTAAGACAATTTCTAAAACGAATTGTTTAATAAAGAATAGAGTAAATAGTTTTTTAATTCGTAAGTCTAGGGAGAAAATGCGCTCCGTGAATTCTTTATTGAAGCCATTCAGAATTAAGTTAGCTGATAAGAAGCCAATTGAACAAAAATTATTATTTTGAAATATTGATAACAAAAATGAGATATTTAAAAAATACATATTTTTTATAGAATTCTTTGTATATTACCTGATAATTCAAACCACAACTTTGTTCAGCACATTTTTTTCTACAGTTTTCAGCAATTTTCACTTCTCTATAAATATTTCAAGAAAGGAAATGAGTTTCAAAATCAGGCTGAGAATTCATTAGTTAATACTTTTTTACACTTCTAAATATAACAGTTTACATGCCAAATTTAAGCTTGTATTTTTACATTATTTATATCTTATCACTAATCAAAATTCCCATGACTTGTGCTTAAAACACGTTTGCATGCTTATCCATAATAAAACTTCTTGCATTGTTTTAGTACATTAAATTGTCATTTATTAAATATGCAGTTTAAAAAATCCTTACTTACTGTAAAAAGTAAAGATCTAATAAATATTTTTAAAAGTTTCTAAATAATCAGCACCAATAAATAGCCATGGTTTTTTAAATTAAAGTTATAAAAGTCTCAAGGCATGAATATAATAATTTATTTGAAATTAGGTAACTTTTGGGATCAGTTCTGCAAGGCCTCCTAAATAATTTGTCAATGTTTTATGAAATATAAATTATCATATAAATTTTACACAAATAACGAAACATAAACAGTCTTTTTAAAAAATTTGCAAGTTTTTTTAAGCAAGTTTTGGCTCAGTAAAAATTGCTCAGTTTTATAAATATTGTAGTTAGTTTTACCGCGCACCGAGCGCAAAATGTAAAAAAAGTTTATTATTTTTCCTTCACTCTAAAATGCTCGGGTTCTTATTATAACCCTTGTCTGCATCATATTTCCAATAAATATTTCCCTTAACTAACGTTTGAAATTGTTCACGTAATAACAAACAAAATTGTACTATAATTACAAGTAAAAACTTACATAAACTCCCATTGAAACCACACCATTTTCGACGCTGTATTTTAATTTAACATTCAACTGTTACCAACTATGATTTAATCGGTTAGAAAGTTAAAACTCAATACACAAATTCGCGAAAACCGTTAGAATTTCTTTGCATTCAGCTGGTCTGGAAAATCAGGTTTTCAGATACCGCGTCGGTGGAAAACTGGCAAAACTTGGCATAGTTACGGAAAATCAGAGTACGGGAGTTGCATGATGGGCAAGCGTGGTTTTGTGATTGTAAAATTTCCAACAAAACTAATAATGTTTTTTAATATTTAATGAATTAAATCGGTGTGCAATCAATGCAACATCTCGACTACGCAAAAATCAGTTGGATAAAATTGAGCTTTTTGTGTGCGCGTTTGTATAAACATAAATACTTTGGAAATAATACATATTAACTTCTACTCTACTTTCAAAGAGTTGTTTTCCTAAGTTGGACAGTCCAAAGACACAGATTCCCCTGTTTCTGCTTACACTTGTTATTGTTGGTACACTTATTTGTTCAAATTCAAATACACCAGGTTCAGTCCAAAAAAAACATTGCAGGAAAAATAATACATTTTTGCTTTATGAACTATATTTAATCAAAAATACGAGTTAGCTTTAAAACAAAGGTTAACGATTTTTCTAGCATCCATCTGGATAGAAGTACTTGGAAACACCATATTTTCAATCAGAAAAAATAGATGGTACTTGTTTTTAGTAAAATGTACTGGTTCATAGACCGAAAGTTCCAAGCCAATATTGGCTTAAAAATTCTGCAGACCTTTGAAACAAGGGCATAAAAAATCAAAATTCTACTTGGACCCTTTAAGTGTTCTCCTTTAAACTGAATCCCCCTGCATATTTAATGTTTTATTTATTATTTACAATGTTTGTGTTGTACTTAGCAGGTTATACGTGAAACATGTCATAACGGTGAAACAATGACAAACATAAAGTTTAAGTTAAATGTTTCCATCATTTTAAACACTACAAAATGTTGGCTGTATTTTATAGGGTATTCCTTGTAAAGAAAATCGGAGTTAAAGCAGGTATGTCTGTACACATTTTAATGTTTTCATATATTTTCTTCAATTATCCAACTTATAATATTATTATTATTATTATTGTCTTCGTATTCGTACATTTTCTTCAAATAGCTTTTATACTCAAATTGTTTTCGTCTTTGATTTCTGTTAAAAATGATGATTGAAGAAACGACAACACAAAAATAAAAAACAATATTCAGCAAGATTAACCCATCACTTAAATGGACACAATTTTTATTAAAATATGCAAGGATTTATGACACACATTGGTGTTCTTTGCCCTTTTGTTTTTCACTAACTGACTGTGAATAGGAGTATCTCCATATTTCCTAATCTACATATCGCTTATAAGTAACATCAGATTAATGTCGTTGCAAATAGCTAATCGCAACAACCCAATATTGATTGGAAATCTGCGTGAAAACCCTTTCAGACACATCTGAAACAAGATAATAAATTAATTTAGACTGTGACAGAGTGTGATAATTTAAAATTTGCACGTTCCTCGGCCTTCTCCTCTCTTATCTAAATCACTTCTGATTAGTTTTAAACGAACCGTGTCTAGAATAAAATTAACTTTTCAGTTATTATCCAAAGTCATAGTTGGTTCATAAATTTTCTCAGGTCTCGTCACTTCCACTATTTAATCTTGGATGGAAAAAAATCCGAGCCTTTTTAATAATAATTCTGGAAAAGGCCACAATTTTAATAAGCTTCCAACGGTCTTATCAGATATATGCAAAGCATTTCATTGTTCGGATAATGTCTTATTCTGTCGATGACGACGGAAAAAGTATATTTTATATAAGGTTCATCTGCATTAAGTGTTAGAAGTCATATAGTGAAGTAAATACGAAACAAAGCTATTCCTTGCAAAGGTGATTGTGTCGTTTGAGTCCCTCGGAATTTTTAGTTTTACTTTACACGCTAAATCGTGTTTTAGGTATCAACAATTCATAACTACACATGCAAAATTGTCGCTAAGATGCATAATAATTGTGTGTTTCGCAAAAGTTTGAGCATCTTTTCTCCTTCTTTCCTAACATATGAGCAATCAAACAATAAACAGAAAGAAATAAAAGTGTTATTCCAGTGAACCGCACAATGACTTTCCATGGCGCAGATGACCAGACGGAACCATGGAACTTTTCATGGATTGTTCCCGGGTTATTAGCGGGCAGCTCCTGTCCACATACAATAGAAAATTTAGTGTTTTTCAAAAATCAAGGTAACTATAAAATTGCCGTAAATGGAAAATGATGGTCTATGGGTAAATTTTAAGGGATTTCTCGTTTAATAACGCTATCGCCGGAATATCAGCCACCGGTCACAAATTTTCCAGAATTGCAATGGAGTTTTATTCCAATAGAAGAGTTTGAAGCACCAACACTTGAAGACGTAAAACAATTTATCGAATTGTGCGAAATTGAAAAAGAACACAAGCAGGTAATATCTGTTGCTATACAGGGTGTTTCTGAATGAACAACTATTTACGGGTTCCATGGAAAATTAATGATAGATTGGTTTAGAGAGACTAGTCTAGAAATGATTATTTGCAATCTTGCTGGGTAAAACTAGGTGAGTTTTTTGGGGTTTCAAGTCGTCGTTTGGTTCGGCCTAAAACACCGAAAATCACACCAGTTTAATTAAAATTAATTAACAGATTGAAGTTCGAAATTTTTTCATTGTCTGTTACTCTCCTAGCTTTTGGGGAATACCAAAGGACTACGCAACTTCCCAATTAATCGGGCATTTTTTCCAACATTATAAAGGTGTCACTGACAAAAAACCACACGCTTTCAAAAGTCTCTTCAAAGATTGCTTTAAAAATATATTACGGATGCAAGAAAAAATCCACAAAACTCTCACATTTGGTGACAAATATTCAGGTGTTTAGCAATAACGTAATAGTTTGTGAATTTTCTTCGACTCGCTGCATTACAGATTCTACTATTCATTCATGGATTTTCAGGGTCTTCAGATAGACCTTCAATCATTTTTTTTTAATACATTTTACCAAAAGTCCTGTTTTTCTTTAGTTCAACATTTACAAAGAACCAAAAAATCCGTAGATCTCGTGATTTTAATGAAAATTATGAAATGTTATTAGAGAAAATGCAGTTGCGTGCAGACATTAATAATTGCACTGACATTTACAAAGAGCGCAAAAAGCGACAGCTGATACGACCTAATGAAATTCTAAGGGTGTTCAGATTCAAGTGTTTTTTATAGATTTTGCACACTTCAAGTTGCTACTCGCTCTATATCGTTAGTTATGAATTATTATTGGCCAGACTGTTTTTTTTATTATCCGGCATTTACAAAGAGCTCAAAAATCAGCAGATGATGCCATTTAAATTAAATCGTTAGAGTTTTTACCTTCAGACGTTCTCGATAGAACTTGAAAAATTTAAGTTACTGCGCCCTCGATATCGGTAGTTATGAATTTTTTTGAAAAAGATGCAGTTGATTGAAGACATTCATATTTACACTAACATTTACATAGATCACAAAAATCAACAGTTAATGCGATTTAAGTGAGTGTTCTAAACGAAATTCCTGAAAATCCTCACAAAAAAAATTAACTTTTCCAGCATATGAAGAGATGATATTCCTAATTTTCTCTTTAAACCTAAGACAAGTTAAATTTCATTTATTTACATTTACATATAATTCAAAAAACTTTAGTTACAACAAGTTTTTAAAAACAAACCATCAAACTTAGTATAAAATTTCTTTTAACACAGAAAGTTAGTTCTAGAAGGTTCGGCATGTCTCATCAGCAGCTCATTGTCTTGGAGTAACTTCATTATCAACAGTGTTTTATTCACTTTCAGTTTTGAATCCTTGAATCTTCACTGATCAAAAAAATCGACCATTGATTATCCGTTTGACCTACTACTTATAGTTCCGCATTAAATGCGTTCTTAGATTCGATATCTGATTGGTCGTCTGTTACTTGCGTCGTTTTTTTTTCAAAATTGAAGATTTTACGTTTTATCACCAATCACTAACAAACATTCATCTAGAGCGAAATTATTTATTTGCATTTACAAAAATACATGAACCATCTTTTGCTATTCTTTTTTTTTGATTAAATTTAAACATAGCATATACATAAAGCGTATTTTCGCGACAGAATAATTTTTACAACAATTTTTAAAGCAAACTGCCACTAATTTTCCATGTAGCAAGCAGCCTATATAAAAACTTGGGTTTGAGATTAAAAAAAATTGAGTACAAATCAACAATAGTTTTTTTATTTAGGCAATTGCAATTCACTGTAGAGCAGGTCGCGGTAGAACAGGAGTAATGGCAGCAATTTATCTGGTCCATTTCTTCGACATGTCTCCAGAATCAGCTATCACGAAACTCAGACTGATGAGACCGGGATCAGTGGAAACGTATCAGCAGGAAAAGGCTGTTTGGGAATATCGGGATTACTTAAGAACCAAAACGAAATAAAAAAGTTGCTTAAAGTTATTAAATCAACCTGTAGACTAAAATTTAAAAAAAAAACATTAATCTTACTTACGTAATGTATGGCCTTTATCTCCAAGTTAGATAACATTGCAGACTCAAAACGTAATGAAGTAACAAAGGCTCTGATTCCACTTGCTCCTACTTTGAAAATCTTGATTGGCTTCAATTTTTCATGTTCATTTTCACTGATGATCTTGACAGTGTGATAAAATGTATAAATATCTTCTTCCCTTTGCCGCACGTAAAACACGAAGCCGCCATTCAAATATGCGATTTTTCATCCCAAAAATGGGCATTTTATGCAAACGAGAATGGCATAAATATACTGGTCGTTTTTTTTTCAAGGAATGTGTTGTGAATGTACTAATGAAAGCCAGGAGATTATTTCGGCTTTGTTCCAACAATAGTTTGGAGCTCATCAACGCCACTTTTATTGATTTTAACACACATTTCAATCCTACACATGGTTTGTGATTGAATCTGATTGAAACTTGTTATTAAACACGCATTTCACTTTTAACCGAAATTAAAAATACTGTTTTAAAAATACATTGTGTTCCTCCTTCTCCTTTCGTCCACCTAATCTGTTTAGAAAAATAGATAATTTGCATATTATAATTTCCTGGAAACTAGGTGGGCTGCATACAAAAACATAAAACAGAGTATTCGCATAGCAGTCATATATTAACAGATTAATAGGTACAATATACATAACTTAAACGGGTGTTTAGAACAGTAACAAATTTACAGCCTTTACTATTTTAAAACAAGATTCTTAAATAAGTGGCAAAAGAATATTTTGTAACAAAAACTATATGTCCATACCTCTAAGTTAAATATGCATAATAAAAGTTTATTTACATTACAGCCAGACATTTCAGTACACAAAATACTGATGGACTTACAGAATAAAACTGAATTTACTAAATTCCTTTGGAAATCTGGAAGTACAATCATGTATTTTCAATGTTTAATGAATAATTTAATATTACAATATCATTAATTAAATATGTTTGTACTCATTAAGTCTTAAAAGCATTTTTTAAACTGCAGACAACCGTTATATTTATGATTACGAATTTGTAAAAAGTGATAAATCTATATATTCCAGTTGCAAAAGTATTGCGGTTGGATCAATTATTCTCTCTAACCAAGTGCAAATATCTAATATATTAAGACCAGAACATTATTAGACCGATTATCTATTATTAATCAACTCTTTTAACATTAAGTAGGTAAAAATTACGATAATATTGGTATAAATGAAGAACCTGTAAGTAGAAAACCTTGCAACAAATTAAAATAATTTAACATTTTATGAAGTGAAGTAATCAAACAGCTGATGTTAAAGCGGCCAAAAGCAATTTGAATACAACATTATTTTTTACGACCAAAATAATAATTTCTTTTAAATTCAATGTTGTCTCCTCAATTCAAGTAAACAACTAATTACAAAATACAAAAAGTTTTCGTTCTCTTCCTTTCTCCATATTCGCAAATTATCATATACTCGCTAAAAGTATTTTACGAAAGTTACTTACCATAGTTATTCTAAGCAATTTCCCTTTATTGTCAATTAATTATTATTAATAGTCGCCTTCGTACCCATAATCATCATATTGGTAATCGTCTCCATCATTTTCTTCTTCATGATATTGTTTTAACATATGTAAAACTCCCAATTGATTTGCGGATTCATCAGGTTTTTCCTCTTGATCGTCATAGAAATCAGTTGTATCCTCTTCTTCCACAACTGATAATAAAAAGAATATAATTACCAGTAATAAATGCACGAAAAATACGGTGTAACTTTAAACAAAAGAGTACCGGCCTAACCGGGTAATAAGTAGTTTATGGAATGAATTTCTAAACATTTTTTTTTTGTAAAACTTGGCTTACCTTGAGCATCTGATTCTTTATGTTTCGATTTTAAGTCCCTCTTAACATCTTTTTCAGCTGGTGGTGACGTACTGCTTTCGATGAATGGAAGACCCACGTCTTTAAGCTGTTTTCCTCTGGGTGCTCTTTTGGGTGTTTGTTCGTGAATAATGTCTGATGAGTACTTAAGCCTGAAAGAAAATGTAAACCACTGTACTTTTCTATCATAGGTCGTGTAAATGGCATTAATATGCAGGCATAGTTTAGAGATGACTAACCTTTTAGCAGAGTCTAAACCAGTCGCGGACTCTTCATTTGGAGTTGGAGTGTCATCTGACGGAGATATGTTCAAGTTCTTAAGAACATCATAGTTAATTTTCGATGAAATTTTCTTCTCGTGAATAATCCTTTCAATAGCTTCCCCTGCAGAATTTGCCGGTCCTATTCGAGTTCTTTTTGTTGGTCGTTTCCGCGGTTTCTTCTCGGGTTTTCCTTCTTCGGTCTCTTTTTTCAATTGCTCCTCCTTGTCTGCAAAATTAAATTAACTCTTTGGATAAAAAATATGAAGACATTTCAGCAGTGGGAAGCATCGCCTACCTTTTTGTTTCTGTAAATAATCCGCATTAATTTCAGTCCACAGTGTGTGTTTGGTTTCGGACTCTGCTTCAGTTAAAATATACGTGTCCAGTTCTTCATCATCAATATCATCAAAGTCTAAATTCAGCTCAATTTCATTTTCTCGTCGTGGCAGTGCATTACAAGTATCTTCTAATGAATTTGGAAGTCCTATACTCTCGATATTGGGACCTATAAATGCATCACAATTGAGTACATCTTAAGGTTTCCATCCATATACCTGCTAATGTGAAAAAAGCAGGTATAAAGTAGAAGAATTTGAAAAATGAATTGCCAGTTCGCTTTCAAACATGAAAAATCTGATATCAAGATATAAAGTCTGGTGTTTTGTAATATGTGGTTTTACAATAAAAAATAACAATAGAACTTGAGAAACCCCTGGAAAGGAAAAGTACTCAAACTGCCAACATTAAATACAGAAGTTAAATAATAGATAAAATAACTAAAGTTTCGCATTTTTTAAATTTCCTTGCTTAGGTAACTAACTAAAGTTACTTTTGACAAACTACTAACAAACATGCCGTTGAACTTAGTACCTACTTAACGGTCTCAATCTGAAATTCTCGCGCTTAAAGTTTGATCAAGAATTTGCATTTAAATAGGGCCATAAGTGTAACAGTTGTAAAGCAATGTCTTACCAAGTTCTACAGGAAAACTACAGTTTGGAGCATCTTCGTTTTCCTCTATAATCTCCTGAATCACGCTCATCGTTGATTCGTGTATAAACTTTTCGGCGTCAGATTGTTCTAGATTCTTTTCATTCCTAAAAACTTCAAAATATGTGTATTAAAACATAGACTTACGTGTGCAGCAATGCAACAAAAATGTCTATTTAAAATTTGAATTCCTACCAGGCAATTTATTGGACTTGGTTTTAATTTGCTCCAATTGCACTTCGATTGTTTTTTGCAGATCGTTGAATTGGTCGCTTTCTTCTTCCATTACCTGCAATCAAATTAGCATTTTAAGTTTACCATCGGTTTATCAACCAAAAAAAAATGTATGAAGACACTTTTGGAAATATTTCAGCTTTCAATTACCTTCATCAGACGTTCCTTGTCTTTTTTCCTTGCAGCTTTGAATGATGGCGGATCTTGCTCTTCTTCAAGATCGACCGTCATGAATTCTTCTAAAGTCAACGAGCTACTTGGTGTATCACCAAACTCGGTCAGTCTGAAATCAGTATCAGCTTTAAATGACTTAATGAATAATTTATTATCAACAATTATAATGTTTTTTACATTGAAATGAAGCCTCGACAACTATGCTTTAAAAAATTTGACATAAAAACGTTTAATGACCAATTGCAATGCTCTATTAGGACTATTAATAAAACACTTAAAAGATTTCATCTAAGCGTTTCCTTCATTATTTTGGGTTCTACTTATTCTTCAGGGTATATAACAAATATGCCCTGTTATTTCTTCTTTATGCCTTTCTATTATATTTTTTGGCTGTTTTTTTAATCTCGATATGGCTCTTTTATTTGAGCTCCTATTAATGTTTTTGCCTTGACTTGTTTTAACTTGTACAAATTTAAAAAACTATATTTAGTTCATCTTTCAATTTTTTTGCCTGCTCAAAACCATTAAATTTAACATTGATTATCATATAAATTTTTACTAAAGGATAACGTTTCTTTGGTTTTATTGCATGTCCAAAGAACATTATACTGACTCTTTTTTATTGGCTAATATTTGCCAACATTTCGAATCATTCCCGAATGTGAAAGACTGAAACTAAAGTTGACGAGTGGCCGATAATTAATAATTTAACGAATATAATACAACAGCACCGGTAAATTCAAGCAATATATATCGTTCTTCAAACGATTTTTCCAGATTTTCATTGAAACGAAACTCAAGTTGAATTGGGAAATTTTATAAGAAATTACATCGTATTTACCTTTTTCTCATTGTAGATTCGTGAATCTTTACAACTTTAACTATATCTGGTATCGAACGGTTAAATTCGTGGAGGCGAGCGGCTATTAGCAAAGCTGAAAGAAAACGGAAATGATCTTGAAGAATTATTTATTTCTCAGGGTGCCAGTAAAGTGTTCTATTAATAAATCCAATTATCATAACGTGGTGTAAACGCGACTCACCCACAGCTAAATTTCACCTTGCTGTTATTTTATTAAACATTTAGATTATTCATAATAATCCTAATGTTGTGTTTGAAGACGTAATTTAGACCTAAACATTGCAGTTTGCAAAGAGGTACCAATAACTAATATTTATGTACTTAAACCTATAACCAATAACAACAAAAGCAAGCAAAAAATATTATAATTATAAACAAAATCGTGCATCAAAACTGTTTAGTTTTACTTTCAATGTCCGGCTCGAAGGACCATCATTTGCAGCGAATTTGCAAGAGAATACAATGCATTAAACGTTCATGTAGAAATGCAGTCGTGACGATTTAGTAGACACGTCGCTTGTTCTACACCAGATAATCCCTATACATTTAGTTATTTTTTTTTGTCGCCACTTTTTTATTTCATATTTTACCTGCTCCACACAATCCTGACGGTCTCCTTCCAGAATGTATGCTATCTCTTTTCATCCGTTGAACCAATCGCAATGCAGTATTCGTAACTTGTTGAGTTTTGGCTCCGAATTCCAACTTTGAAGCGAATCGTAAAATGTATAGACAGGGATCTGAATCAAATGAAAATTAAATGATTAGTATAAACCCTGTAGAAACGTTACTGGCAATCGTCATAATCAATCGATAAACACGTAAGTCTAATCAATTCTCCTGCCATTCAAAGTGGCTCAAATAACCAGAGGTAGATAATACACTGAAATAAATGTTGAATATTAATACGTAAAATAATGCCATGTGTGTGGCAAATAGGTTTTAAAAATATCTCGCTATGTGAATTGAATATTCACGGTTCTTTTTCGGATGTGTACGGGAGGTCCATGTTCAACCAACTTATTTATATAATGAACACGAAAATTCAATGAATTAACATATAAATACACAGCAAGTTAAAAAAAATATGCATTTAAATTCATATGAACCGGCATTTAAATGTATACAAACTATTTCCCATTTCGAAACCATGTTTCGAGCGTATTTTGTGCATGCATTGCAATATATTTCAATCAAATGTTATGAGGAAAGTTTTGTGGTATATTACCTATGCGCTTGTGGGGAACAAAGAACAATATTGAATAATTTAAAATCTAAATATTTTAGGCAATAAAGTTCGAATGACAATAACTTTAAACGAAAACTTTTAGATACTGAAGTCCTTTCTTCAGGACTAACTTCAAACTTCAATAAAATTGGGCAGAATTGGAAGATTTCTTCCCTCCCTTTCATTTAAAGAATGGAAAAGGGGCAGAGTTTGATTGGAGTTCAATAAAATTGTATGATTGATTAGTTCACTCTATTCACAGCAAAAAATGGCAGAAAGACAAAAAAATGGCTTTAAATAAACAAATAGTTTTCAATGGAATTGATCGAAAATAGCAAATAAAAGTAAGTGTGTGAAAGTGAACTAAAAAACATCTACTTGAAGCATTTTCCTTTAAGGATTTCAAAACTGTTGTGCAAAAAATTTCCTTTAAAGAAACAAATCGTATTCTATTCAATTTATCGAAAAATCCAAGTTTCCTCAAAGTAAAATTAAGGTAAAATTCAATCCTTTTTTACAAAATTTATACTTTACTTATTGCATCAGATTATCTAGATTAAAAGACAGAAAACTGGAAGATATTTTAAGATCCTGGCAGATCGCGTATTAACTTAGTACTCAACATTGTTCATATTATTTTCATTTTAATAAATGTCATTATAATTTTTACTCAACCCCCTATGCATACCATATGCCCTTCTGCATTTGTATACGATGGCGCAAATTATAGAATTTGAAAGGCAATAGACGAGCCAAACCGGTGACTTGGACTTACGTCCAAACAGCTGAATGTTATATGAAAGTACTTGCATATTTTGGCCTAAATTTACCGAATAAACCAATACTATTGCGCCGTGAAGAAAATATTTAAAATTGAGTAATGGAATTAACGTCGCCCAAACGAAGCAAGCAAAATGTATTCAACAGATTTACCAAATTATTGATAACATATGGTAAACAAAGCCATTAAAGAGATATTCGGAATAGATATTCGTTTACTGTTCATTGAAATGGGAATAATTCCAATGGCTACCTTGAGGCTCAAACGAATATGTTAATAATGTTTCCATGGGTGAGGAAATTTCTATTAATTAATGCAATTTTACGAGGACACCATTCAATTACTGATTAATTAGAATATCGTGATGCAAGAATGGGCTAAAAGTTGTAAAATTTTTATTTTCTTCTCAAATACTTTAAATGTATTTTGGATACAAAATTTGCTTTCTTGTTGAATTATGAGTTCTAAACACTGACTAAACGGAAACAACTAAAATTTTAATTAATAGGCAATTTTAAATATTTAAACTAAATCGGTTCGGTTAAATTTTACAAAAATTGTCCAATTTTATCTCACGCTAAGACATCGAAACACTATTGCTAAAAGTTGATCGGGTTCGGAAATATTGGAAAAAAACAACTATGAACAAAATAATTTTTGTAAATAAATCGAAAAGATGTTTCTTACAATATTTTATTAGTTTTTAAATCTATACACGTTTATACCCAATTTAACACAAAACACTCTCTAGTTTATGAGAGATCGACACTAAGTCCAATTTTTTAAATACTAAACTGTTTTTTTTGTCTCGTTCTTTAAATGCATATTTCCCCTGGTTTAAATGTGGTAGGTTTACATTTGCCAACGTTTTTGTCGAAAAATTCATTAGCAAGGTTTATTATCTAAAAAATACAAATCCAACCCTCTATTTRAGTTGTGGGTTACATGTTCCGTTTTTGAAAAACGTACTGAACTTGAAAATGCYAGCCACACTGAATGAAGRGTTAAATGTTTTATTTCCCAAATGTTTCCTATTAACAATGCCTGAGGATCAGAATTAAGGATCGTCCRTCCGTAAAAAAAATATWAAAAAATTGTGCATCTTGCTCCAAACGTTCCATCATTTCCAAACAAAAATGTAAACGACCMGTTTTATTTTCCTGAGTTAATTGTTGCACAGATGAAACGCAGATATCGAATAAAAAAATKATCTTCAAACTGCAGAAGAACCTTTAACTCTTCATTTTCATGATTTTCGTTCCAAAATAATGTTCTGTTCTTTTGTTTGAATCTGGTTTCAGTAGAAACTTGGTGGTATATTCGGGCAAAAGTATTTAAACCAAAAAAGTTCCTTTCTCCTTTAATTATTCTTTGATATTCTCGCTTAGCTTCTCTTCTGCTGTGTCCATCTTTAATATATTATTTCATACACACTGCTCAACAAAATAAAAGTAACGCAGTTAAACTTATCCTAAATTTCGAACTGGACAACTTCAGATTGTTGTGAGCGATTTTGCTTCTGTTTGAAGCATTATCTAGTCCAATTCCTGTTCTGTCGATGAGTGTTTTTGCAAAAATTAACTGCTTCATACAAAGTATCTACATGGTGAAAAATTAAACAATGTAGAAATTCTGAAAGTTTGCCATGCTCCCAGTTGAATAAAAAAGCGTGTTTTTTTTTTAATTTGAACATCAAAAGCATAGAAAGTGTTAAATTTCACCTGCCCGATTTATTTACAGGGTGGTCTCAACACATTCTGATTTTGCACTAGTAACATTTTGTTTCTGAACTGATTTTCAGAATGTAGAGTTCATGTCCAAGCAAAAACTTTGCAGGCGAGTTAAGAAAAAAATTCCATATATGCTAGAATCTCCAATTTCGGGGGCAGTTTTGATCTGGGTAACTTTAAATGCAGCCCTGTATATTGAATTGTGGTCTTAAGACGTTTAGAAAGTTTCAGCTTCATCATGAGCTATAGATGTAGAAAATCGGTCTAGCAGGCAAAAATGATTTAAAAGAAAAACGTTTGTTTAATTGAGAGGATGCCAAGATTTCAGTAATTTTGCATTGTTTCGTTCTCGAGCCTGTAAAAACTTTACCTAAAGTACTTATTTTTTTTCACAAAGACACAGTGACAGAAAAAGAACTAAACTCGTTAAGGCTTCAAATAGTAATCAAATCGTTTGCAGCAATCAGCTCTTATCCAGTTCCAACGTAAAGGAAAATTTGGCAGTGAAACCTTTTTTTTCTTGAGCAGTTTATATCAGGTTTCATTGCTTGAGAAGAGTTTATTTAAATTCTTAATCAATTCGACTGACTTTAAAAAAACTTATGTTCTACTTGTTACAATTAAAGCATCGCTAACTTAGTGAAAATAAAACGACCGCAAAAATAGAAAAATGAGTAGTAGTAGGTACAGGAAAATATGAAATATGTTGAACATCTACTTCAAAACATCTGAAAATGAAATCTGTTTTTATTTAAAATTTAGAATGAAGCGAACTTGAAAGCGATACCATGAAATGTTAGTTTAATTTTGATTAATTTTGAGTTAAAAAAAGTTTACCATTGCAATTCAAATTAATATAAGTAGTTTCAGTAGAAAGTCGATTTTTAATGGTTTCAAACTAAGGATGTATAATGTATATTATATGAAATCTATTGAAAACTTCAGAAAAAATTTCATTCTGTAATAATATACAGGGTGTTCAATTGAACAAAACTTTAAGCTTGCTTTGGTACGCGTTTTTTGAAGAACATATACTATATTTAAATTATTCCTAAAAAAAATATAAACATTTCCCACAATCTGGTGTCTGATACTTCCGTAAGCCAGAATCCAGCAGGACATCAAGGAAATTGGCTCATTGTACCATTATTTCTATACCATGCGCTGAGAAAGCTTGACCAACCATCCAACGATAGAATGGATGGAATGGATGGCCTTATCGTTGATGAGCAAAAGTTTTTCGATCTAAACCAGCACCCATCGCATCCCCTAGTAATAGGCCAGTTGAGCAGACGATCGTGTCGTCGGCAAAGAGAGTGTATTTCACTACTGTATTACTTGCAGGTAAGTAATTTAACTGTACTGCAAATCCATTAACATACGTGAGAAATAGGAGAGAATCCCATGATGGATCTCTCAGCTCTTTTACATGCCTTTTTCACCGGTATTACAATAAACATGCATACATTAATCAGTCAAAATCAGCTTTTTAAATACCTACACACACATTTTTAAAGCATTGTTTTGTCACTTAATTTGCCTTCTATGATAGAGCCGATTAGGAATATGTGGCATGCACATTAAGTAGTCGACAGTGTATTATTTTAGGAAAATAAATTAAATTCGTACTGACTACCTAAGTAGGAAAATCTGTTGCCAACCTTGCAGCGGTATGCGTTTATGTCACATTAACAACCCGCTGTATATGGTGTTTTATTGCTTCGAATAGGCTTATTGTTTTAGGGCAATAAATAATCGATATAAAAAATGTACAGCACGTAATTGACGGCATTGTTCGAACTATGTATGATTAGAATAAAGTGTATCTAACAGACATAAATATTTCTTTAAATTATAGATTCGATCGTTTCTTGGGGATTGAGACCATAAACCACTGTAAATCTAGCAGGAAAGTCTTTAATGAAAACTATTTTGTTATGTAGTAAATGCCTGCCCAAAATGTGAATATAATGCAACTAAATGAAAACAAATAACTTGAAACCTAGTTAGTTATTATAGCCCCAATAACAATTTGCAATTATTCGTATCAAGCACATTATGTTTATAAAATCCATGACATTAAATAATACAGTAGGTAATAAAACAAATTGGTGAATTTAGCACTTA